AAATCAAATAACACTTTTGAGTATAGAAAATATATACATGAACACACAATAGGAAGAAAACAAAAATGAGTGTGTATGTATACAATTTTATAGGTCCTTTATCTATTGGGTGTTACATACACTTGGAACGCATATGCATTGTTATTTCTTCTCATTTTTTATATTCGGAAAAGGGTTTGGTAACAGAGACTTACGACATCGGAAAAACCGAACTCTTGTTCGTATTGAAGAAAGATACCGAGGAGCTTCCTGTTGTCTTCGACGTGTTCGACGAAATGTCTGACTGAACTTTCTCTGTATCTTCACTTGCTTCACCGCTCGATTCACCAGATTTTCCCGGAAAATCTAAATTCTCTTCATGGGTTTTCGCAGACGAGAGAGAATCAATGGAATCTCCACAATTTGGATCCATACATTCCTCAAAAACCCTAACTTTCTCTCTCGACTCTGTTTCGGATCCATCACCGTCGATTACCTCAATTCTTACATCAGAATTCGGTTCTGTATTGTACGAATCTCGATAACTAGAACTCAATGTCTCTTTAAACCTCGACTCATCACTCTCTCTCCCTAATTCACCTCTGCTTTCGATCTGTTCTTCTTCATCGTTCTCCAAACGTGATCCTGATCCACCGGAAGTTACATCGACCGGACCAGAGACCCGTGGAGTTACGACACTGATCGCAATACCAGCACGACACAGAGGACAATTAGTGTGAGACCCAAGCCAAGTGTCAATACAAGAGATGTGAAAAGCGTGGTTACATTTAGGCAATAACCTAAGACTCTCATCTTCTTCAAACTCGTTTAAACAAACAGGACAATCTGTTCTTTCGATCAAACCATCTCCTCTCTTGTAATTACAAATCGTAATCGAGTTTATGATCGATTGTTGTAGACCTGTCGTTCTAATGAACCAGATTGGGTGATCAACTTGTTCCCTATCTTGCAAGTCTTCATCCACCGTGTAATCTCCGTCTCTCTGGGGAGGATAACCTCCGTGGTTGACTCGGTTTACGCTCTTTGATACGAAATTCGCTACGAGGAAGAAACCGGTGAGAAGGATGGCTAAGGCTGCACCAGTAACTGTGATAATTGTTATGACGCCAATGGAAGATGAATCGTTTTGAGATGGTTGATGAACGGTTGAGATTGATGGAGATGGAGTTCTGATTGATCTTGGTGATGACCATGGAGGTATATGTGGAGATATGTTGTGGTAGTCTGGTTCTGAGTAGCAATTGTAAGGGCATATCGTATCGCAGATACCTATCGAACAATCTAATGTTTTGTTGTTTGTCTCTGATGCTAACATAGGGAAGAGTTTTCGATTCTTCTTCCTCGCCATCAAAGAAGACTCAGTATTGTTGATTGGAGTACAAGAAATCAAGATCAAGAGAAATAAGAACAAAGAAGTGAATTTTTCATTGGTTTTTTGTTTGGTTTATTGAAAATGTAAAAGAAGATTTGTTATTGATTTTATCCTTTGGATTTCTTTGAGATTGAAGAGGAAGATGAAATTTTCTTCTCATCTTTTGGTATTGACTTGTTCTGTGATAAGTTGAAGCTTCTTTTTCAAATTGTTTAATTGGTGGGGAGTCGTATTCATGAAAGCCATATTTTACCTTTTAGCTTTTGACTCTTTGGCTTTCGAAGATTGAAGTAAAGTTTTATCCTTTTGTTAAGCTTTCTGCAGATTATAATATAAAAATAATATAGTGATATTTTAAGACTGCGAGAAAACAACAATATTACTTTAACTAAGTTTGTGTAAGATCCGTTATTTTTTTTTAAATCTTTTTTTGTTGTTAAGATCAGACATAGATGGTGAACTGGTCATACAACGTGGTATTATAGCTGGTAACAAATAAATTAAAAGAAAACAATTAAGATTAGATCGGGATACGAAATTTAATAATTTGTATTAGTGTCAATGTTTGAGGCTGGAGATGTATATATGGGAGTTGTAGAAAAAATGATGCTGAAATTATAATTAAGTCACACTCTCACACATGATTACAAATTAAGTTAATCAATTCTATGCATTGGCTTTTATAGAAAAACCATAAAATGACTTCAGAAGTAAGAACTCTGATTTCCAAAACTAACCAACAGACAAAGAGAATAACCACATTTTCGTAGCATAAATTACAGAGAAAATTAATAATAACTTGGAAGAAGAGTAAAAAGTGAATATTACACCAATTGCCATAAAAAGTGAATATTACACCAATTGCCATTTATTTCAAAATTTTTGTAAAGTCTGTCATTTTTCATATTATTTTTTTATAAAATATCATTTCTTGTCTTCTAGTATATAAGAAAAGACAGTTTTACCCTCATTTATTTTCTTCCACATATCTTCTTTATTTTTCTCTCTCTTGAATCCCTCTTCTCTCTCTTACACATT